TCATAACCATCCATATTTGTGAAATGAGGTACGTTTCTACTAACGTGCCACACTCGTGACTAATTCAGTAAATTGATTGATTGTCTTGGTACGACAATGATGTTGATAATATTTATTTTGCTTGTCTTACTTTTTTGGGTAGCAATCAGTGTTGTACAGAGGTAATATGCGAAATTTTACTAACTTAAACCCTTTTTAAAATTGATGAAAATAAAAAATAATTAATTTGATTTAATATGTTATAAAGGATGATTTATTCAGGGTAACAATAAAATTTAAAACATAAAAAATTTAAAACAACAACTCTTCAACGGTTGGTCTTGGCAACTCTCTCGATTTCATCCTTCTTCTTGATGACATAGCTGGAAATACAGGGACATAAAATCAGTTTAATGCACCACAAAAGAGAAACATAATAACTTCATCAGATCGCTTAAGCAATCTACTTGTAAGATTTGCATATAAGAAAAGATCGCTTAATCTGCAAATCTGAACATCAAATCGCTTAAACGACCTAAGATCGCTTAAACGATCTACTGTTCAGATATGCAGATAACAGTCGATCGCTTAAGCGATCTTATGTCACTTAAGCGATCCGATCTTATCTGCAGATTGCTTGCTTTTTTGCTACTAATCAATCTGAACCTAATGTTCTGGATCTGCATGTGATCGATTCTGGCAATTGCTTCTCTTGTGGCCAGGTTGCTTGCAAATTGTGCACTTATTCATCCTCCGGAAAACCTCACAGGCTGAAAGAATACGCTTAACTCTTTTTCTCCGATTTTCTATCTTTTTGAATGGTAGATGGATGATAATGTGAACCAACTCTGGCGACACCACCCACTGCTCTTCTTGAGGAACTTAATATATCGTTTCTGAATAAGCTAACATGTAGTGATTTGCCATATAAAGAGGGGAGCAAAGTTCCATGTAAATTCTTAAACCAAAATCTAGCTTCCATTGGTGTTTCAGTGTTGCTAGTATCTGACGACAAGGTAAACATTGAATGTTAAGCATTTTACAGTTGCAAGTTTTACTAAAAAGGTTAACTAGGGCATTCGGACCATAGTCGCACACGGTGAACTCTTAAGCATTAAAAGGATAGGCAAACAGTGCATTTGACAGTTCCATACGTTCTCGCAATAATTTTTCAACTGACGGAACAAGAGTTGCGGTAAAATTATCTGACTCCGTACGACGCTCATGGAACCACCATGACAATGTCTTCTGGATTGCATCAAAAATGGCAACTATTGGAAACTCTCTTTCTATTAACAACTTCAAATTTTTGGACTCGGCTATGTTCATGGTCATGACATCAAAACTTATTCCAGTAAAGTAAGCTCTATTCCATTGTTCGAAACCAACATCATGCTCAAGATACTTAGCAATTCTATCATCTTTGATTCGGATTTGCCGGAAGTGCTCTTGGAACTCATCAACTCGATAAGCTTTTGCTGTCATGTAGTATGTCTGAAGGAGGCCAGCACACTTAAACTTTTGTTTTATGTTCTCACCAAGGTGTTTCATACAAAATCTGTGATGTGCTTGAGGGTAAATAGTGGCAATCCCTCTCTTTATAGAGTTGTGCCTATTAGATATTATGCACAACTTGTCACTATCAAGCACTATTGTACGTAATTGCTGAAAAAGCCAAGTCCACGACTTGTCGTTCTCATAGTCAACCATACACCATGCAACGGGATATGTGTGATTCTCGTTGTCCTGTGCAGTGGCCACCAACAATGTACCTTCATACTTTCCCGTCACAAAGCAACCGTCAATAGCCAACACCTTTCTCATGTTTACAAAACCCTTTATAGCAGCATCGTAAGCAACAAAAAAAATATTTAAATCTCATATTCTTATCCCACTTCAAAGCCGTCTTGCTACCTTGGTTTGTCTCAAGCATATAATGATACGTTTCTAAAACTACGTATATGTGCTCCAATGTGCCCCTCACAAAATCTTGTGCATGTGTCTCCTTTTCCAGCATTTCCAGTAACTAACAGTGCATCACAACTCTGTGTGCACAAGTCTCTGAATGTCCTTAGAGATGGACCTTTCCTTTCAACAAATTGACTTTTGACAAATTGTCCAATAACATCAGCAGAGGCTTGCCGATGCTCACCTGAAATATGTCCTAAACCACATGTGTGCTCATGGATATATGTGCTAACAATAAATTTTTCGGACTCCGCCAACCTTCTATAATAAACCCACCACTTGCACTTTCGGTCACGACATGCAACTGTCACTACTGATGAATTAGACTTTTTGGTGATAAACTCAAAATTACCTCTCATGACAATAAGTTTTAGCTTCCTCACCACTTCCTCTTTGTTGTCAAATAAATATTTTATGCGCAACTCCAATCCATCAGTAAAAACATGAGCTAATTCACTACTACTTGCAATTGTCGCAAATATGTCCTAAACCACATGTGTGCTCACGGGTATATGTGCCAACAATAAATTTTTCAGACTCCACCAACCTTCTACAATAAACCTACCACTTGCACTTTCAGTCACGACGTACAACCGTCACTACCGATGAATTAGACTTTTTGGTGATAAACTCAAAATTACCTTTCACGGTAATAAGTTTTAGCTTCCTCACCACTTCCTCTTTGTTGTCAAATAAATATACTATGCGTAGCTCCGATCCATCAGTAAAAACATGAGCTAATTCACTATTATTTGCAATTGCCGCAAATATGTCACAAATCACATGTGTGCTCACGAGTATATGTGCTAACAATAAATTTTTCGGACTCCGCCAACCTTCTACAATAAACTCGTCACTTGCACTTTCGGTCACGACATGCTACCGTCATTACCGATGAATTAGACTTTTTGGTGATGAACTCAAAATTACCTCTCACGGCAACAAGTTTTAGCTTTCTCACCACTTCCTCTTTGTTGTCAAATAAATACATTATGCGCAACTCTGATCCATCAGTAAAAACATGAGTTGATTCACTTCTACTTGCAATTGCCGCCTCTGAACTTGCATAAAAGACCATAGTTTCTCTTCCTCACAAACTACACCTTCTGCATAATCTGTATTTAAAGGAATATCTACATCTGTCGGAACATGTACGGGGTCCTTCTCCTCAACATTTTCATTCTACCACAATGACCAACCTCTTTTACAGTGTCATCCTCACCACCCAAATCACCACCTACTCTTGATTTTTAACTAAGAAATCAATGCACTCGTAGTTCAAATTAAAACCAGCATTCTCTCTGCCAACTTTCTCGTTATCCCTTTCCTTTGAACCAAGTTCCAACGGTTTATCTACAAAAGAAACCCTTAAAATCGGCCTCAAACCATTATTGCCCACATCAATCATCTATAACTTCATACCTTCATTCAACTTTAATATAGCAGGAGATACCTTATAATGTTCAAGAACTCTGCTTAACACATACTTCACAACTATATCACTACATGAGCAACTCAAATCACCTCTTCTAATTATTTCATCAATCAACTCATCAAAACTAATCTCTGTGCTCACAACAATTGGTATAACTTCTTTGCCCTTCCCAATGCACTTCCAGCAACTTTCTTCCTCCACCCACTCACCAAAATATTCAACACCAAAAACAACTTGTCTCATGTCTAATAATAGCCAAGTACCTATAATGCAAAAAAAAAAAAATATTATTAACTGATGTATTAAGGGTTGAAAGATTTTAAAAAGCATCTAGATCGCTTAAGTGATATAATGAATCGCTTAAGCGTCGCTTGAGCGATCTTTTGCCATTTACCTGATCACTTAAGCGATCTACGATATGCTGCATTATACTAGACATACTAGATCGCTTAAGCGATCTATCATATCCAGAACACATTTTCAGTCATCTCCACCTATAATCGGTGCTACCACCCCCAGCTACCCACAATGCAAGAAAATATTCAACAATTTTCACTCCTTTCAACTTGCATTACATCAAACACAACCCAACAACCTAAACAACTAAATCAAAATCATAACCCAAACCCAATCCATCATTAAATCTTTGTAAATCGAAATATAAAATGGAAATGAAAGATACACATACTTGGACGAAATGTCAAGAGGCGGGGGAGGAGGAGGATCTGTGGCGGAGAAGATGTTAATGGCGGAGGAAGAAGATATTGTTAATGGCGGGAAGAAGAAGATGTACAGGATGAAGGAAGAAGAAGATGTAGACGAAGCTTAGAATAAACAGCAACCAGGGGAGCAATGTGTTAATGGCGGGAGGAAGAAGAAGAAGATGTTATGTTTAGGTTTGTTTGCAAAAATTTCAGGTTTTTGAGGACATATTATAATTTTTAAAAGATTACACAATACTTCATTAATCCTAATTAAGTCATGATTAGTGTTTAATTGTCATTAGTTTGTCTTAATAAAAAAATAAGGTCATTTAGTAAAGACTAAAAAATTATATGGCCTTTTAATTAAATTCAAAGCCAATATTTGCCCCCTTTTTTTAAGTTGTAAAAACATAGCCCTCCTATTGATGATCACCTGTCAAGCCAAACACTTCTCATTCTTTTAAAACGGTGCATAACCATCTTTTTTATGATACTATAAACTAATTCAATTATTCCTCTTTTCAATTTGAAAATGTTTAGTTTGGACATACTTTACACATACGGAAAATTTATTCTAATATAAAAATCTTGTAAATCCTTTAAAAATTTATTATATACTTTGTCAAATGTTTGAATTTTTCAACCAAAATAAATAAATAAAGCTCTTACAATTTACTAATATAATAATATAATTTATGAAATAAATAGTATATCAAGTACATTGGAGTTTACTAATATAAGTACTTAAACAACAATAATATAGAGAATTCACTGCAATTTTGCAAGATTGGGCTTTATTATAAATTAACTGAAGCCCAAGTCCTAAGGCCCATATGATTAGAACATCTAGGGGACAGCCCAATGAAAACTAGGGTTTTATATCTATCTGTAACCTATAATAAACCAACCTTCGCCCCTTTCGCTACGAGAGTAAGCTCCGTCCGCTCCTTGCAAAATCAGAACTTGTAAGTTCCTCTCTTCAATCAAGCAACGAATCTCACTTACTCTTTGAAATTTAATCTCTTTCGTAACTGTTCTTCTTCTTCTGTAACGCCTTTTGCAGCAGGTAAAGGTAAGACTTTGAGAGATGGTTAAACACAACAATGTCGTGCCAAATGGGCACTTTAAGAAGCACTGGCAGAATTATGTCAAGACTTGGTTTAACCAGCCTGCAAGGAAGACCAGGAGACGCGTTGGTCAGTTTTTATTTATCTATTTATTTCTTTTAACTTTTAACTTTTAATTATTATTATTATTTTTTTTTTATTTTTTTTATTTTTTTTTATTTTTTTTTTGCGTTTTTGATTTTTGGGTTAAGTAGATTTTGGTTTTGATTGATTTTTTTGTGTTATTGTTTGCAGCTCGTCAAAAGAAGGCGGTGAAAATCTTTCCTCGCCCGACAGCGGGGCCGCTTCGCCCCATTGTTCACGGGCAGACTTTGAAGTATAACATGAAATTGAGGGCTGGGAGAGGCTTCACTCTTGAAGAACTCAAGGTGGACCTTTTTTTTCTCTTTGTTATTGTTTTAGATATGTGGTTTACTTTTCAGTACATCTAGATCTATGAAATTAGAAATTCAATTACACGTACAAATGTCTTCTATTTTGGTTGTTTGTCAGTTGTGTTTTGGTTCAAATGACAGAAAGTTACAGTATGCACTATAAAATTTCAATATATGGGGTTAAAACAATAGCTTTAATGGATTTAGTAACTTGAAAATGGGTGTTTTTTTAATTTAAATTTTAGTTATCACAAGGAGGAGGTGGGGTAATTTGATTTGTGTTTTTGTTTGAGATAAGGGTGGTGCTGTGAGATGTTTAATTTTGTGTTTTTGTTTGATTGGAAGGGTGGTGCTGCCGTGTGTGGTAACCGAAAAAACAAAATGTGAAAATAAAATGAAGTTATTCTGAGTTCTACAGATTGTTGCCATCATAAATGTAGTGAATCTAAGTTCAGGTGTTATTATTGATTGTGTTTCCTATTGGGGATGTAATGCTCTGTACTCAATCAGGCTGCAGGCATTCCTAAGAAACTAGCACCAACTATTGGCATTTCTGTTGATCACCGCCGTAAGAACCGATCCTTGGAGGGTCTTCAAGCTAATGTTCAAAGGTTGAAGACATACAAGGCCAAATTGGTTGTCTTCCCAAGACGCACACGCAAAGCTAAGGTAATTGGAGAGAGAAATGTATAATGATTGCATGTTGTTGTTATCTGTTTCTATATTCAAATTTTATTTATTGTCTTTTTGGGATGTAGGCTGGTGATTCTGCTCCGGAGGAACTGGCAACAGCAACCCAAGTACAAGGCCCCTACATGCCTATCACTCTTGAGAAACCTACTGTGGAGCTTGTTAAGGTTACTGAAGATATGAAGTCCTTCAAGGCATATGGCAAGCTGCGTGTGGAGAGGATGAACACACGCCATGTTGGTGCCAGGCTGAAGAAGGCTGCAGAGGCTGAGAAGGAAGAAAAGAAGTAAAGTTGTTTGACTTGATTACACATAATTTTGAAGTCTGATGTTGGACTNAAAAAAAAAAAAAAAAAAAAAAAAAAAAAAATTCATAATACCAAGTTTATGGATGTTGATTCCACAATATTGCTAAGGATCAAGAAAAAAAATCCTGCCAGATGTGGAGGTCAAATAATGTAGCCAGCTGGCAGTAAATAAAAGTGGAGGGATGATAAAAGTATACAAAATGCAACGCAATGCTTAGGTATTGTAGATGTCATTTGGATTGGGTTCAAAAGTTTTAATAGAATATTCCATTTATTATAATATAATATTACAAAACAAAGTTGGCTGCCTCCACATAGTTCTCAACACTTTTCCTTCTAATTCCAATTTAATAATAAATAATTACCTTTAATTGCACTTCTTAGTAGAGTTAAATCTACTAAAAAAAATTGTTTAAATCTATTTACAAGCGACTAATTATCTAATCAAAATTGTAAAATTTTATCTTTTTTATTATTAAATGATGAATTGTCTTAATACAATATACGTTATTGTTAACTGATAAAATTTTAAAAATGTAAAAATTTATATTTAAAGTCCTGACATTATGTTATGATAATGAGATTGAAAGTTATGATAATATAATTCTTTTTTATGGGTTATTATCTTATATTCTATAGTTATTGTTATTACTTTTTACTAGAATATTTTATTTTATTTTTGCATATCATATAAAACTAGAAGATTCTAGATGGCAATAAAGTGAGTCATAATGTGAACATAATAAATATGATGAATTGCAAAATTTTGAAATTGTCACAATCATCTTCATTCCCATCTATCTCTTAAATTTACAAAGCTTTTAGAATTCAATCAATTTCCTTTTCATTTTAAAATATTTACTTTAAAAAAAGATCCAAAATAATTATTATACAAATTCAAACAACAATATCTAATTAATTAATTATTTATTATTATTAGCTTCTTAGAATATTTACCTCCCTAATTAGCAGTGAGTAACCATGCTATCATATTGAACTATAAACAAAATAAAATCATTATCAATAAAATCCGTGTGAAAGAAAAGAGAAAAAGTAATAAATAGAACAGATATCATTCGAAGAATCTATTGAGAATTGGTCATAAATGCATATATTTTGATACATGGGGATATTTAATGTGTAATTTGACTTAAGAGGCCCCATCATGGTGACCTTAGCTTGACATCATCATTATCATTGGTCCAAAGATAAGGAAGTGGCTCCCACTTTTCTATTTCTCTACATAACCCTTATATATACACACACACACAATAAACTTCACCATTCCAGCTCCTCTATTTATATGACACTTATTATCAATAACTTGTTCAAGACGCATAACAGTCTCCTTGTTCCTCCCTTTTGCAGCAGAATTATGTCTCAATCTGATCCACAAAGTGCTTTCAACAGGCCAAGAATGGTGGCCAAGAAAGTTCTTGCCAAACCACAACATGAGGGTGATGGTGCTGTTGTTAGAAGAAGCATTGGAAGGTTATATATATATATTTTTTTTCCCAAATGGGGTTTTCAAGTTTTTATTTTTTTTGTGTTCTTTATTGTTTTCTTGAAGATTGGTCACCTGGGAAATGATTTTTTTATTTTTTTTTGGTTTTCAGGAGTGAATTGAAGCTTTTGGATCCTTTCTTAATGTTGGATGAGTTTTCAGGTATGGTTGGATTCATCTCTTGTTTAACAAAATAATAAGTGTAAAAGATTTGGTATAGAGATTTTAAGTTTTTTTATTTTTGGTTGGGTCTTTTTAGCATCCCCTCCTGCTGGATTTCCAGATCATCCACACAGAGGTTTTGAGACTGTTACATATATGTTACAGGTAAATTTAAGCTTGTTCTGTTCATAATTTTATCTGATAATTAGTAGGATTTTTATAAGCCAAATTTAAGTTTGATGGAATTTAGGGAAGGATCGCTCATCAAGATTTCGCAGGCCACAAGGGAACAATTGAGACTGGTGATGTTCAGGTAAATGACATTGACAAATTTTGTTGATAAATTAAAATGTTTAATTTTCTGTGTTTCAAATGGGTTTTATTTTTTATTTGGTGCAGTGGATGACAGCAGGAAGAGGCATAATCCATTCTGAAATGGCTGCTGGTGAAGGTGTCCAATGGGGTTTACAACTTTGGATCAATCTCTCTGCTAAAGATAAAATGTAAGCTTCCTTATTTCTATTGCTATGCCATACTGGACCGTTAATGTTATTGACAAGATCTAGCAAATCCCTCTATCGCTACTGTAAAGTTTGAAACTCCAACCGAAAAAAGTTATCAAAATTAGCATGCTCATGAAAATCCAAATTTGTCAAAAAAGTTCTTGCTTGATGTGTTTAGATAATTTCAGATGACAATTAATGTTTCCTTTACCTTTGCATCTAAGATATGCAACCTTTCCCCTCAATTTAAGCAATTTAATTCCATAATCAATGATTTTCAGGTTTTGTTTTTTCATTAATCTTAGTGCAAAAGTACTAAATCCAAAAATTTGTTGCAGGATTGAGCCAAGGTACCAAGAACTTCGAAGCGACGACATCAAACAAGCAGAGAAAGACGGTGTAGAAGTTCGCGTTATAGCAGGAGAATCGATGGGAGTTCAATCTCCGGTTTACACCAGAACTCCAACAATGTACCTTGATTTTACTCTGAAACCAAGAGCTCAAGTACATCAAAGTATTCCAGAATCATGGAACGCATTTGCTTATGTAATAGAAGGCGAAGGCGTGTTCGGATCAATCAATTCATCGCCAGTATCGGTTCATAATGTGTTAGTGTTAAGTCCTGGAGATGGGGTAACTGTTTGGAACAAATCTTCAAAACCAATGAGGTTTGTTTTGATAGCAGGGCAGCCATTGAATGAGCCAGTGGTGCAATATGGACCATTTGTGATGAATTCACAAGCTGAAATTGATCAAACCATTGAGGATTATCACTATTGCAAAAATGGATTTGAAATGGCCAAGTATTGGAGGTCTCAATGAGTGGGAAAAGAATGAATAAAAGTATTATTATTATTATTTAATTTAAGTGTAATATTTGTTGTATTTTGTATCTTTATCATCGCTATCTCCATCCAATAAGAAGAGAGAGTAACATCAATTAGAAGATGAAAAGAAAGTTTTTCTAGAAGAAAGAAGTGTGCAGGTGGGTGATGGATCAGCTTATCTCAGTTATATTTTTCTACAAGACTTTAAAAATGGATTTGTGGTAGTTCATGGTTTGAATTGAATTGACTTTGTTTTATTTAAATTTATATTATGCTTGAGATTTTTGTTTATTTGATTGGTGGTGGTAGGGTTGGGTTTTCTTGGGAGTTGATTTCCCAATAAAACTTAGGCATGGCCCTCCCCACCCATGATACCAATTACTTGAAGCACTTACTATACAATTATATGACTTTATTTCATTTTCCCCATAAGATGATTAAAAATCAAATTCATCTGCTGAGAAAGTACTAAAAAATCTTCTACAAATTTAAAAAACTCACCTAAAAATATCTTACACTATGAAACACCCCTCCTTTAATAGATATGTATTTAATATTTGTGAATGAAACAAATGAGTTTAATTTCCAGAGTCATAAAGGATTTGATTTTGGATCCTTTTATCATGTTGAAATTAAAATTTTATCACATTCAAGGGCCCCCTCCTTTGTTATAGTAGCATTAACTCTATAGATTATTAGTAATAGTGAAATAAAGGATATTAACATTTCCAAACTAGAATACATCAATTTTTTTTTACTTGATTTGGGTATAAATAACGGAATATATGTATGACATCACAAATGAGGCCAACATATAAATAAGAAATTCGATAATGATAGCAAAATATAAGATCCAAAAATATAATATTACATCAACACCATTACAATTTAAAAAGTGAATTATTATTATTATTGAGATGAGTCCATAATGGGGAGGGAACTATGTTATTGGTAGTATAAATTTTATCTAAATCCATTAATTCTTACCGTATGGTTTTGGTTATCTTCCATTCAAAGTATCATCAATAGGTAATAGAAATATAATCATCTAGAAGACTGAATGATTCATATGGTATAATCCAATGTAATAGCATTAGGGTATTTGACATTGATACATTTTCACAATCACGTAGTCACATCAAGTAAGCGAATATGAAAGCAACAATTACCATTTTCATTACTTGTATTGATTCATCAACACTAAGCCATTGCTTTTAAATTCTCAATGCTCATTGCACTAAAATCAAACTCAACATTATATTGGGGGCCATTTGAATTTCTCACGTCACATTATTCTAAAAGCCAATCTATTATTATGAATTTGAGTGTATCTGAAGCATCATTACAAATTTTAACTAGATTTCAATAATCAAAGTATTTATTGGCTTCTTTTTCAAGATTGTACAATTAGGGAATAATCAAACTAAGAAATTCATCTACCATCTTTATCAATAATCAATATGNTCAACATTATATTGGGGGCCATTTGAATTTCTCACGTCACATTATTCTAAAAGCCAATCTATTATTACGAATTTGAGTGTATCTGAAGCATCATTACAAATTTTAACTAGATTTCAATAATCAAAGTATTTATTGGCTTCTTTTTCAAGATTGTACAATTAGGGAATAATCAAACTAAGAAATTCATCTGCCATCTTTATCAATAATCAATATGTAATTCCAACCAATATGTGCCAACTTTAACCATTTTGCCAAACCTTTGCTTCTAGAAACAACAATATATATATGTTTAACATTTCAATATACAATAATGTAACATTCTCAAATATAATAATACAGTCTCACAACATATTGGCTGTCCACTTTGTTTTGTGCCTAGGTTTCTTTGTAAACCAGTGCACAAAATTTTACTCATTTTTTCTTAAATAAAATAATAACAAATCATTTCTATAAATATATAATCTTATTTTTGGTGATAAAAATAACCCCAAAAGACATTCATTAATTAAGGAAACAATCAATCAAAACAACCACCAACTAAATAAATTGAATTAACAAACCTCTCTTGTATAAGCCTTCAACTTGTACTCTTTGCTGGATGGGAGGTTTTAATATTATTAGTTAAGCACAGAGATCACCTCGAACAGCAAGAAAAATAGTTTTGTGTTTGCTTCGATCCATCGGTGTCGTTTTTTGCTAGGGTTACCCGGTTGAGAGATAATTCAGCTTTGTAAGTATCTGAGTTCAAGACCTTCCTGCTCACGTTGTTGTAAATCTCTCTAATGACTATCTCAAATGCCTTTTTGACGTTTGTTGAATCTAAAGCAGAGGTTTCCATGAAGAATAGCCCTTCTGATTCGGCAAGGCTTTTCCCTTCCTCTACGCTCACGTTCCTTATATTACCCAAATCACATTTGTTCCCAACCAGCATCCTTGCTACAGTGGTATCAGAATGAGCTGCATGATCGATCAATTTTAGCACAGACCTTGAAATCTCTGAGATTAAAAGCAAATACAGAAGAGTTGCACATAATAGAGAATGGAAGAAAAGACACAGAATAGAACCAAATAAACCAACAGATACATATGCGCATAAATTGGATTAAATTAAAGAGATAAGGCTCAGCTTTGAATAAGGCCATCATTTTTCATAGCTTTTGTAAAAGATTTTCTCAGAAATGAAATTACATACAGATGCCACCACATCAAGTCTAACAAGATACCAATAATTGATATAACTGGTGGTGGCCTGCATACCACATAATTGTTCTTTTATTATATTTATCATAACAATATAGAACTATAAAATTTCCTTAAATCCTCTTTGATTTTAGCATTAATATCATTTCAAATCCTAATATTGTAATATTTAATACATAATCATGAATTCATTCAATAGGATGCCAACATCATGATTCCATCTAGAGAGAAAAGATATAAACATACCACATTAGGATCGTGGTCTGACCACCAATAATATTTACATATAAAACCTCCAAACATGTGCAAGAAATGATGACAACAACTAAAATGGAACAGCACCAATACACTTTCATATGCATTCTAAGACTGTCCATTACAATGGACTAATAGCTTATGAAGGGAAACAAGTGAGCATAAACTCTACTAGCAACAAAGCTATTAACCATTTGTGAAATTATGGACAAATGACATAAGAGTTAATACTTTAATCAATCTCATTGATTAAATTTTATTAACTTGATGTTGTCTTGATCGGATTCTTTAACTACTTTAAAAATTAAATTAATTTAAATTTATATTAGGTTTTCAATATAAAATAAAAATTAAACTAATTTAAATTTATATTAGGTTTTCAATATGAAATCAAACATTTTCATTAGAACCTTAATCCAAGAAATTAAAAATACATGATTAGATGAACAATAGAAAAGACAATAAGACCAAGAAGCAATTGGAATATGTTACAAGCAAAACTTCATATGCCACCATATTTGAATGATACTCTTTTAGTGCTTATAAGGAGTCTTCCATTTGATTCCAACATATCACTCCAAGTTTTCCATTTCATGGCTTTTAATCATTTACTGTGCCAATGATCCTTTACTCGCTAGGCTTTCCAGAATCGGCTTGGATTTCTTTGGTTGTATAAGTTCACTAGGTCTTGTAACTTTTCTCAAGCTTTTTACCACAAGAAATTACTCTTAACTGCAAAGACCTTTGTAGACCATTTTGTGTTTATATATATCAGACAATAGGTGTGCTAGACGTTGAAAAAGGTAGTTAAGACATTAGGAAAAGTCCACTGGATATAGGGGAGACGCAAGACAGGTTCTTTCTATTTTATTTTATTTTTTATAGGAAACAACTAGATGCAAGAAAGGGTTCATCAACATTAGGACCAACTTAATTTTATGGAACTACTCTATTTACAAGCTTCAACTTATTGAGTGCATGCATCAACCTAGATCTAATTGGCTATAGAACTTGAAACACAACAATTTGCCACATGAAATTCTTATCAAAAAAATGCAAGAAGGCATATGACCATAGATTTGCAATTGAAGCAATGTATATATCAATTTTCCTTTCATTGTCATTCTTAAATTCTCACTCCCGTAATTGCAATAATTGAAAACATAGCTTTTGCCTTGAAGGCCAAATATAAGTGATTATATAGAAGCTACTTTATTGACAGCCTAATATAGCCTAAACAAAATTTTACAGTCACAATAACAAGGAGACAAGCTACCTCAAATATGAGGTTAGAAGACTCAAATCTTCTACTCCAAATCCAAAAAAGTATAAAAGAAGTTTATCTAGTATTGTTTTATGGAAAATAGCATTTGAGAATCAACATTTTTATTTTATACAAAAACACTTAAAAAAAATGTTAAGACATTTTTCATATTTTTGAAAGACAGAAATTGGGAAAAAAAACAGCACACACACATATAAACATACCAATATTGAAGCTTTTTAATTATTTTATTCTCAATATATGTTATCATTTATCAAATGCATTCATTAATTTTTTTTTCTTAAAGAGGAAATTAAGGAAAATGTCTTAAGAGTGGTTCAGATAAGATATGAATATAAGATCGACAGATCACATAGGAGACAAATTCTATGGAACCTATACAAAGACAACCTGTTTAATGGAACATGATATATACCGATTCAAATCCCCTACAAAATCATCTAAAAACTCCTTCCTAATCTTGCAAATCCTATAAAAGCAAAACTGAAAGAGATCCATAAAGTGGAATCCTGTAAATGTATTCTTTAGTCTCGAAGACACNCTGTAACGGCTGCTATGGCAGCAGCCACTGAAACAGCAGCGTGGAGCTGCGCATTCTGGGCTCTGCAGCCACTGAAACAGCAGCGCGTTTCAGGAGAATAAGAAAGAAGAAAGCAGAGCCCAGAAACGACGAGTGAGTTGGTTCCGGCGAAGGTGGAGAGGGCTGTTGAGAAGATAGTAGAGGGGGGGCGGGGCAAGTGAAACATGCTATGGCTTATTTGTAAAAGCAAAGTAAGGGACGACTGTCCACAATTCCAAATATATATATTTTTTTTTTTATATTTGGGTGAAGGACGGGCGTCCATTATTGTGGACGCCCATCCAAAATTAATGGACAGCCGTCCATAATGGATGGACGGCCGTCCCTAATATTTTACAAATTTTTTAATTATATTTTAATTAGGGACGGGCGTCCTTTAAATGGGGACGCCCGTCCCTTGTGTATGGACGCCTGTCCATATAATATGGACGAGCGTCCATGTGAGTGAACGGCCGTCCAAATGTGATGGACGGCCGTTCACTAGAAAAAAATTGT